TCTTTACCACATTCTGCTGTGACCAAAGTTTATTCCGGCCTCTCCAACTTTCGTTCATTCAACCTCACCCGTAACGCATTCTGCAAAAGAGGGACGCTAACTTAATGAAACAAAGCTAATGGCGTTTGAATATTCTTCGCTGAAGTCATTTCTTGCACATGGGTATGTAGCAGTAATCATATTTGTCAACGATCAACCATTTTTTCACAGGAGAGTTGGTTAGGACGATAAAAGAAGTTTATTTATAAACACCATCAAAAGAACTTGGCAATGGATGCAAAAATTATTTTTGCTTTTTTATTTTGCTCTTTACTGTCGTGTCATTCAGAGAGTTATTAGGTTTTGCTGCTAGTTTCAACAAAAAGAAAAAAGTTTTTCAACTAGCATCTCCAAAAGTTTCTACGAAATTTCAAACTATAAGTTGGGTCCGTAAAATTGGAGAAAGTAGTTTTATAAGTGGCAGGGAATGGGTGAAAAAGCAATATAAGAAGAGGAAGAAAAGGTCGGACAAATATTTCTTGAACTTTTTTTGATAGTATCAATTTTTAGACATTTCTGACCTCCGGACGGAGGTGTGGTGGGTAATTGAAGGATTCGAAGCTGCAATTTCCGCGATTAAGATGTCACAGGGAAAGCTATGATTGAAATCAAAAAAAAATTAGGAAAAAGGAATCTCTGAGTTACGTTTCGACATTCATTTAGAAACACCTAGAATCCTAGTAGCATCCAATGACTTTAACTAGATGTCATAGTTTTCGTATATTTTTCTTTGTTTTTATTTTTTTAACTGGTGGGTGAAAAACGTATTTTTTACCTTTTTAAAGTAGCTTTGGTAAAAATTGTGGACAAAAAAGAGCAGTTTTATTAGTGCTGCTACAGCTACTGCTGCAAAATTCACCTGTGCACTTACGCTAGTAGCTTTTTAGCCTCAACCACATATCACTCTTTGTGCTCTTTCACTCCTAAAAATAGCTTATTAAAGTTGGAAGCTAATTTTTATTGCTACTTTGAGAGTTCTTTATGCTTGATCAAAGAAGAGAAGACAAAAGAAAAACAAAATTATACATTTTTTTGACACCAGATAATGGTATCAGTTTCATTTCTGCAAGTCTACAAATACAAAAACACCAACAAGGAAGAATGACTGGTTACGGTTTTTTGAAAATTAACTTTCAAAAACTAAATAAGCTATTTTTGGAGCCAAAGAAAGGTAGGAGGAATAAACGGCATGACGATATGAAGGTTAAATAGGCCTCAAATAGGCCACAGAAGACTAGAAGAGCAGACTTACCCAAAGCTTTCCTGCATTTCTCAGAAGCACTTAGTCTGTCTGTCAAACTTCCTGCTTCAACAATCAATTTGATTACTATCTTTCATTAAACCAACTCCGCAAAGCTGACATAATGAATCTGTGTTGCGTTTACTTCTTCTGCTCTGGCATGTCCAAAATAAACATGAACGAAGAAGAGCCAAAAGAACGGAGAGAAAATGAACGGAAACTAGGATTATTCAAGTGCCAAGAGAAAAATTGGTTAAAGAATACGTAACAGAGTTTATTTTTGCGGATTCCGCAGAAAATTTCATGTGGTTTATTTCAATACAGTCTATTGTAAGAACTTTGTAGATGTGTAAAACATATAAGTACAGCCCCTAAAAATTATTCCAATACAGACGGATTAGACTGTAATTTTATCAATCACAGTAAATAACTAGTTTTAGCAGTTAACAGAAAACTGTACTCTTTCTGTCAGCAAATAAAAACAAAATTTCGTGAATTCCTTTCCATTAGCCTACAAGAGTGAGTTAGCTAATTCAAAGAACTAGTTATGACGCCATACTTTTCATCGGTTTTTGCTTCTTTTATTGTAAATAGCTCTTTTTACTATCTCGTATACTTTACATAGACTAGAAGAAAAATAGTCGGTTTTGTATACTCCCGAGAATAGGGTACTCTGGATAGCTGAAGCATAACAAGTTACGGCACAAACGACTCTTCAAGTGTGCGAGGTGAACGGAGTTTCTAGAAAGATTGTTCCACTGCCTCAGATGTTTCACCAAAGTTCTGTGAACTCTGCAGCCTCCCTTAGCCTGCAATATCATTTTTGCTGCCCCAAGAATCCCGTGAAGTAGAACGATGAATACTTTTGCGGTGCCATTTATCTTAATCTTGTAGCGACTTGATCACGCTTGATAAATTTAAAATTTTACTGTTTCATCTCATCCAGCTTGCTCAGTCTGATGTTTGGTTTGAAACTACGTTGACAAATAAAAATTCTTAACAGTTGAAGATTGGAGTTTTGGAGTAGCAGTTTGAGAGCCTGTGGCGCCGAAGCTGTCATTAAATTTTCTAAAGTGGACAAGGCAATCCAGTTCAATAATTACTTATCACATTTCAAGAGCAGTAAAAGATTATTAAATTATTTGTTTACAAGAGATAGAAGCATCTTAAGCTTGATAGGAAGTGTAGCAAAGAAAAAAAAAACAACTAGTGAAAGACTGGCAAAAAAGTGTAATTGAGAAAATAAAAGTGATCATTGGAAATTTTAAAAAGCAGATTTGTGATATCGACCAAAAAACCTTATCTCTGTATCTATCTGCTAGCAGTATTTACAACCAGTAATGATATTAGCAGGCCTTGAGCAAGTAATGTTCTTGAACTTTCATTGCAGATAATGATAGCTGCATCAAAAGTCGCAGTATTAATAATGCAATTCCGGAAGTGTTGCTATTATAAAAAACCATAGCCGTTCAAACTACGTCAACGGCAATCAAAAATGCTTTCTTCAATTGATTAAATTAAATTTATTTAATAACGATGCAGTGGGCTATTACTTGAAAAAAACTCCAAATTAGGGATAGCAAAATTTGAAAAGCGGAGATATCATTTAGCTGTCGCTTTATCACTACATTTGTGATCTTCTTTAGCCGTCGATCAGCGTCTTTATGAAAATTGAACTGTTTTAGTTCTGCAAAAACTTGTTTTTTTTTTTTTTCGTACTGCTCACTGAAAGGCATTTTGCCAGCTTCGCAAACGTAAATGCGTAATGAGCAGTGTTGTTATGCTCTGCGGTTACTGTAGTTAGGATGGAATATCGTCAACAAGAGAAGTTTGTAGAGGCTTTTTACAAGTGCACATCTGAGTATTTCTGCAGATTTTTTCCGCGGAAATTTCAAAGCACGAAAACAATGCGCAGAAAATGCACAAAAACGACAGAAACCGAACAAAGATGCGGCCACATTGATATGAGTAAATGCTCTGAAGCGCTATTACAACAGCGACAGCAACAGGCTTCCTTAGCACAGATAGAAAGTCCCTATAAAAACACGAGACCCCAAAAAGTTTTGAGTTTTTTTTATTGAAGTTTATTCTAAAATCCTAGTTTCGTTTTGAACTTTGTAAAAAATACATCAAAACAAACCTGAAGTGTCTGAACTTTCCAAGGGATAGTCATAACTCATTTCTCTTGAGTCTTTCGACGAGCAATTTTGCTTTTTTCACAACTTGTGTTTTGCACTCTTCTACTCTTTGTCCCCAGTTCTTTTCGGTA